GTAATGCCACATCGACGATTTACACACTCGGTGAAGCAGGTTTTGTCGCTTTCTTTCGACGTGGCTTCAAATGAAATCTTATCTGCGCTGAACTCCACGGTATCTGGAAACAGAGTAGCTGCAGAGTAGCATGTATATTGCTGTTATTTATATTTCGATTTGTACGCTCTGATCCGCTCGATTTCTCATCGCTTTCCAATTTTAACGCGCCATTTAACAAAGCCATTTGAATTATCTTCATTTAAGAATTAATTTGAGGTAATTCGTAAGAGGAATAAATTATAAATAACTGAAACGAAGTATAGCATTCTCTTTTATATAGCACATTTGCTGCTTGCGATCTTAAAGAGTACAACTTGAATTTAAAGTAAGCCTAGAGGGCGAATCTCTCTTTCTCTCTTTCGTAGTTACCTAATTTCCATCAAACATCTTGCACAATTCAACAAAGGAAATCCATCAAAGCTTCAGTTACATTTACTCGTGCCTCTTTATTTTAACCGAAAACAAAACGACAGAGTATCCCTCTTCCATTAAAGGGAATAATAGAAAACGTTCTGTTGACGAACGTTTAGAGATCCAGATAGATCAAAGGTAACCAGCAAACACAACCGTGCAAATTACGGTCGCGATTTCGTCCATCAGCCTGGAGAATCGCTTTCAACTTCGAGAAACGAGGATTGCGGGTTTCGGCTGAATTGATTAAACTTTATCATTAAGCGGTATTTTACTTACCGATTTTTCTGCCTGCGTGATGATCTTTTTTATACGATAGAGGACCTATTTTATACGATAGAGGCAATTTCCATCGTGCGAAGTATGCGCAGAAGAGCAAATGAAATGTCTAAATCGATTGACCGTTAGATTCGACGAAATCACCGGTGACTATCGTCGTAATTTGCGCCGGGAAAGATTCTGAGAATCGAGAGGAGAGGACGCTGAAGAGTGCACAATCACTGCCTCGTTGTTACTGGCAATCACGTGAGAAGCTTAGGCTCCTTGCTGATCCTTCGAGACGAAACAAGCAAGTTTGGAACGAAATC